GAATTGGTTGAGATATGGCCAAAAGCATTTTTATACGCAATTTGAATGTATATCCTTTCTGTTCTTTCCATAGCTCAGTCAAATCTTCACGGAATTGCTTAACTTTTTAATCAGTCTACAGAGAATTAAAATATCTATCTACGTATGCTATGTACGTGAGATAATATTTAGTTTCTGTGGTGTAATAAATTTTACAACAAAAGACCGGTCGCAACTGGTCTGGACTGGTCTTTTTCGCGTTGTGGACCGATTAGGACCAGTCTAAAGCGGTCCGGTTGCGGTCCCTTAATATCTGGATCAGTCTAGACCGGTTGCGGTTGCCAGTTGCATCATTTTGAGGTAAAAAAACTGGACTTAACTAAACTTTAAAACACTAACTACACATCATGCAAGCCCTTTTGCTTTTTTTCTTTCTGAAATCGATGCTAATTAGCTTCCAGTGCTGACAAAAGGCTTTAGCCCCCAAGGCTTCAAGAGCTTCTGACTGATATCTCTTACCCACTTGAACCAACGCCTCTGCCTGGTACTTTGGCAAGCTTTTTGTTCCCTGGTCTGCCCTTGCCGGATCCACAACCCTCAGCTGCATATCCTGCTGCCCTCCTCATGCATACTCCGACCATTGCAGGGCTGTCTACTCCACTTCCTAACTCACAAGATATCCTGATGAGCCCAGCTTGGAACCCAAGCTCACATACCCCTTGCTGTGGCAATTATGGTGATTATATTTTTGATTCAGAGTCAATATATATACTGATGCAATTATGGCAGCCCCTCCATATTGGCTTAGAGATAGCCACTTGCCACCATGAGACTGAGCCTTTGTCTCATCAACACCTGCCCTAATTTCCATGATGGCAAGTACGAAAATACGTGCGGGGAGTTCAAGGGAGTGGTTGGACATGTGGTTAAGGTCCAACTCAGTTTCATAGTGGTGGAAGTGCCGTTTCCATACTTGATACCTGAAAGGCCAGAGTGCAAAGCCCAAGTCGTTACCACGTTTGATGGCCTGCATAAGGGGTCAGAGTTTAGGATCAAGGTTTTTGGTGAAGATATCTGTGGCTGCTCTCATTTGAAATCAACAAAGCTTTTGAGAAAGGTTGATGTCCAAATTGCCACCAATGAACTTGTAGTTACCTAGGGATAAGATACCTTAGATATGTTTAGAGACTCAAAAGGTTGATGTCCAAATCGCCACCAATGAACTTGTAGTTACCTGGGGATAAGATACCTTAGATATGTTTAGAGACTCTTCATGTATGTTTTACACCTATATTGATGGCCATGTATATTCTTGACTGTATTGCGAGACAATCACTATTTATGACTGGCTTAGTCAGCTCAAGCCAGTTTCTTAGCCAGAGCCAGAATCAGCCGAGCCGTGGGAGTCATCACTCAACAGTTCTGGCTGGGCTTCGGCTAAACTTGGCTCAGCTCCTGGCTTCAGCTGGCTCTGAGCCGGAGCCGTGGCAACACTAGCTGTACCTGGAAAGAATAACTCGGCAATCTGGAGCCATTGTTCTGGGGGGCCGCAGTGGGTTTCCATGTCAATTTCAGGTGTGTTAGTGCTAACAGTGCCCAAAACTGAACTTTTCACAGTTGAAGCAGCATTTTTGCCAAAATTCTTTTTATTGNGACTTCATTTGGGAAGGTCCAGACCTGTAGTTGGCTTCAAATGTATTGGTATTGTAGTAACCACACAATCAAAGCAAGATGATGACCCTACATTTTCCTTGTCATCAGATTTGTTCACATGATTGTTGGTCCTTTTCTGCTTT